AAGTCTGTTTTGATGAGGTTGGATAAGATGCAACTATAAAGCAAGCTGACCAATGTTTTCTTGGTACAGGTATTGTCTTCTCCTTGACGGATAAATCCAGCTCCTCCAATATGAAGATAGATACTCTGTCTTTCCTTTATGTTGTTCTCTGCAACCACTCCCGAGAAGTGTTCCATCCCTATGTTAAAGCACTGCTGCCACCAGTTGTAATTTGCATCGGGGATCCTTTTTATAAGATAACTTCAGAAGCTTTGCTAGTGACTCTACAGCTTGTGAAAGTAATTCGTCCCTTGGATGTGCCTTGTACGTTTGATGCCAAACCTTATGTGACAGACTTGTTTTCTGCAACATTGAAGAGGCTGAAAGCAGCTGACATTGACCAGGAGGTCAAGGAGCGGGCTATCTCTTGTATGGGGCAAATTGTTTCCAATCTGGGAGACTACTTAAGCAGCGAACTCCAGCCAACCCTGAAGATTTTCCTTGAGAGACTGAAAAATGAAATAACTAGACTGACCACGGTCAAAGCACTTACTCTGATTGCAAATTCTGCACTCAAAATAGACTTGAGGCCCATTCTTGCAGAAGGCTTCCCCATTTTGGCTTCCTTCTTGCGTAAGAATCAGCGTGCCTTGAAACTGAGTACTTTGACAGCTCTGGACGTCTTGATCAAAAACTATAGTGATAGCCTCAAGCCAGCCATGATTGAATGTGTTCTAATGGAGCTTCCGGATTTAATTAGCGAGAACGATATGCACGTTTCTCAGGTGGCCATTGTGTTCCTTACTACTTTAGCTAAGGTTTATCCCTCATCCTTGTCCAAGATCAGTGGTACAGTTTTGTCGGAGCTTTTCCAACTTGTTTACTCGCCTTTGATGCAAGGAGGGGCCCTGAATGCCATTGTAGACTTCTTCCAAGCACTGGTTGTGATCAAGGCGGTCAACATGAGCTATGCTGACCTGATGAAGCAGCTAACTAGTCCTATATACTCCTCAACCTCTAGTGGAGTCTCCACCACTTTGCATAAGCAGGCTTTTCACTCTGTTGCCAAATGTGTGGCGGCACTTTCTTCCGTGTGTCCAAAAGAAATCCCTGGCCTAGTAAACCTGTTCATTCAGGATGTGAAGAATCCAAAGTCTACCACCGCTGTCAAAATGTTGGCTTTCCTTTCGCTCGCAGAAATAGGTCGCACCACCAACCTGAGTGCTCAGAAGGAACTCAAAGCCGTGATCCTGGATGCGTTTGCATCGCCCAGCGAAGAGGTGAAATCAGCGGCTTCCTACGCTTTGGGCAACATCAGTGTGGGCAACCTGAAAGAATACCTTCCCTTCATGCTGAAGGAGATTGGTGGCCAGCCTAAGCGGCAGTACTTACTGCTTCATTCCCTGAAAGAAGTCATTAGCTCTTCCCCAGCAGAGAGTCTGAAACCTTATGGGGAAGACATATGGGCCCTGCTTTTCAAGCACTGTGAATACACAGAGGAAGGAACCCGCAACGTTGTTGCTGAATGCTTGGGGAAATTGACTTTAGTAAACCCTTCTCAGTTGCTGCCCAGGCTGAAAAAACAGCTGTTCTCAGGTAAGGGAAGGGAAAGGATAGTACTGAGGCAATTGCTTAGCTGAGTGGAAGGTTGTACTCCTCTCTTTGAATCAGTGTTGTAGACCTGTGGAATCTTGTAGCGCATGTTTACTTTCCGGTGTCCATCCTTAACAAGCTGCTTTTGGGAGATTGTTTGTATTCTGCCCGGGCTCCTTCGAGAAGATCTGTCCCGTTCATGTTGGAGGTACCGTTTTAAGGCACTTCCTGGTCAAAAGGATTAGCCGGTGATATCACCGTTGCCCAGGGGATGCCCATGGAGATGCCTTTCATGTCTCCGTCAAAGAGCTGGAGCGAATGATGGGCGCTCACCCTGCCACGCAGCAGCACTCGGGTCTCGAACCCGGGATTTCTACCCTCCAACCTAGCATCCTAAACACGTGAGCCATTGTGCTCCTTCAAGAGGATGAGCATTATAAAAAGAGAGCTCAGAATAATTTTCACACAGTGCATGCTGGGGTTGTTTGTGTTTCTGTGTTCTGGAAAAGATGAAGAAAAGCAATCTTAGGGGGAGAAAAGTTGGTAGAAATGATCTGTGTTCTTTTAAGATAAATAACTTTTTCCCACTTCTCATTGTAGGCTCCCCCTATGCTCGGAGTACAGTGGTGACTGCAGTAAAATTCACCATCTCGGATCACCCACAACCCATTGATCCCCTTCTTAAAGGATGCATAGGTAATTTTGAGTTTTGATAAAAAGACTTTCTTTGGAAGTCAGAATAGTGGGCCTTGATAAATAAAAAAAAAACCACAGAGTGGAATTAATGAAAAAGAGAAATGACCCAAAGAATTAATTGCTATAAGAACATGATCTTTAATGTTACCTGAAAGTGCTTTGCTTTGCTTTCATTGTCGCACCTATATCCACCCAACCCTTTTCTGACTGAATCTGAGAAGTTGTTCAAACTCTAAATGTTATCTGATGTCAAAATGAATTGGGGGGGGGCAGACAAGTTGAAGTTGAATCCAAAGAAGAGGTGCTTCTGACCAGGAAATATGTATCCAATATATAACGGAGGATGTTATTCTTTTTTTTTTAATCAAGAAACAAAATCCAAGCAAATCTTTAACTGATTCCATTCTCATTAAGCATATTGACATGGCATTTCCATAACGAACTGAATACACAATTGCTATCTAAAATAGAGAATAGTTTTGTTAAATATGCATAGATCATCTGAATTGTTTCTACATTGCTATCTTTAAAGTACCTGATTCTACGACTGAGTCTAGATGTTAATGCAACTTAAATATTGATGCAAATACTAGGGAATAAATGACAGAATAGGCTGTCCATGCCTGGTTTGAAAATATAATTTTTTTTACCCTCCTGCTTTTTGAATATTATGTGTATCCCAGAATGTATTTAAAGCTAGTGTTAATGCCTTTTAAACTCTTGTTATGCTATAATCCTGCAGGTGACTTCTTGAAAACACTTCAGGATCCTGACTTGAATGTTCGTCGTGTTGCTTTAGCTATGTTTAATTCTGCTGCTCACAACAAACCTTCCCTAATCCGAGATCAGCTCAGTACTGTCCTACCCCACCTATACAATGAAACCAAAATTAGAAGGGAACTCATACGAGAGGTAGGGACCATATTCTGTTTCCACATTAACCCCTTCTGAGGATGGGTCAGGTGTGGGCAGCTATGGCCCCTTTACGACCTGTGAATGTCAACTCCCATGCTGGCTCAGGAATTCTGGGAGTTGATGTCCACACGTCATAAAGGGGCCATAGCTGCTGATCACTGAGTTGGGTGGTTCCCCCAGTACTCCTAACCTACTGTTGTTGTTTTGAATGATGGCGAGAGATAGTGCTGCCTGACCAGATCAAATGGGAATGATAGATTGTGTGTGTGTGTATGTGTGTGTGCGTGTGTGTGTGTGAATATAATTAACCCAATGTTCTTGAGACCTGAAAGTAAACTAATCCCATAAATGTATGGAAATTATTACTGAACCTGTAATTTAAAGCTTTAGATTGGAATACATTCAGCTGAACTTTAATTGGAAATGAACCAAGCAATTCTGTGGCTCCAGGCTGGGCCAGATAAAGTTGGCATGTGAACGTTTTCCTTTTTTAGAACTACCAGCTACTTTGAATTTCCCCTTTTAGGTAGAAATGGGGCCATTCAAACACACAGTAGATGATGGGCTCGATGTGAGGAAAGCTGCCTTTGAATGCATGTACACACTTTTGGAAAGCTGCCTTGATAGACTGGACATCTATGAATACTTAAATCATGTGGAAGATGGCTTGAAAGATCATTATGATATCAGGGTAAGATTTAAATTTTTTTAAATTAATTTTGGAGCTTCTTTTTTTTTTTTATAAGAAATTTTATTTATTTTTTCAATCATAAAAAACAATCATAAGTAAACACAATAACCAATCAATAACCCCCCCCCCCCCGGACTCCCCAAACCTAATCCCAGAATAATATTCATATAAAAGTAAACAAATACTAATATTTCTAACTCTACAAAATATCTTAATCTACAAGAAAAGATAGTAGAAATAAACCAACTTAAAAAATTCTAAAAACCTAACTTATATTCTACCACTTTATGTTTCTTTTGAATATAAACAATCCATCTTCCAATTTTGGAGCTTCTAATTTCATTATTTCATTGAATTGTAGGGCTGTTTTGGATGAATCAATTTACCCCCACACAGTGAATTCAGACTTTTCTTCCACAAAGACGATGCCCAAACTGTGGGGAGGGGGGAGAGGAAGGGGGGGGGAAGGGTCCTATGAGAGCTAAATGACCCACTTCTATGTTATTTTCTTCTGCCTTGTAACCTAGAAGAAAGAGCCAGTAGGAGGGAAATCTGTTGCAGTGTTGTAAAGCAGCAGCCCCCAATCTTTTGGGCACCAGGGACCAGTTCCGTGGAGAGAGTGTTTTTCCATGGACCGGAGGGGGCGTGGTTTCACATGCTGCCTGCATCCCGCAGATGGGGCTTCACTTATTTGCGTGGCCTGGTTTCTGGCATGCTGCAGCCCGGTGCCAGTCCACAAACCAGGGGTAGGGGACCCCTGTTGTAAAGGGTCTGTTTTAAAGCTGAAAGTTGTTACAATGAAAGTGACCACGAGTTGGTGGAAATTATCACTGAAATATATGCTTGAGCAAAATGATGTTAAGGTAAGCTTTTTCCTTTCTTCATTATGAAGATGCTGACTTTCATTATGTTGGCTCGCCTGTCAACACTCTGCCCTAATGCAGTCCTGCAAAGATTAGAGCGGCTTGTTGAACCACTGCGAGCAACGTGTTCAACTAAGGTAAATGTCCTGGGAAACCTGAATGTATTTATGCTTTGAATGTCCTACTTCTCTTTCTTTTCTGAGGTACCTAATTTTTCATGTCCTAAGAGATGAGGGACTACTGTGGCAGTGCAGTAACAGTTGCAATCCTTGACTTACATCCATTCATTTAATGACCATTCAAAGTTACAGCACTGGAAAAAGTGACTTACAACTAGTCCTCACACTTACAACCATTGCAGCATCCTGTGGTCACGTGGTTGCCATTTGTGACCTTCTCAGTCAGCTTCTGACAAGCAAATTTAATGGTGGAAGCCAAATTCACTCAATGACCCCACGATTCATTTAACAACTGCAGTGATTTGCTTAACAGCCGTTAAAGTGTCACAAAATCAGGCATGATGTACTTAGCAACTGCCTTGTTTACCAATGGAAATTCTGGAGACTTCCGGTGGCAGGCGACTT